TATGCTATAGTTTGTTGCTATATATTTCATTTCATGTCATTACTGAGCCGGTTTGATTGTGTTCCATAGAAAGGTATAAGAAGGTTTTCACCCATCTAATATTTAACTGAGGTTTGTATGTCATGACACCCAGGGCTCTTTTTGTAGAAAAAGCCCAGCAGGAACTCATTAGCATAATAGGCCACACCCAACAGCAGGAACTCATTAGCATATTAGGCCACACCCCTGACAGCACAGGTCATTACCACATTAGGCCGCACCTCCATGTTACCAGAAGTGTGGTTATCCAGCCACACCCACCTTTTGCTTCTTATTCTGTTTACCTTGTTTGTTGCCAAAACCCAGGGCTTTTTTGTAGCAGGAACTCCTTTGCATGTTAGGCCACACACCCCTAATATAGCCAATCCTAATGAGTTTCTGTTGGGTGTGGCCTATTATGCTAATGAGTTCGTGCTGGGCGTGGCCAACTTGGGAGCCAGCTGGAACTCCGTTCCTGTGTGTTCCTGCCCAAAAATAGCCCAATAAGGAGGTTCTCCAGACTGACTGGAGCAGACAAAGGGGCGTGCACGTGTACGCACATGCTATTATTTAGAATATTTAAATACTTACCTTTCTCCCAAGTTAGTATCTCAGGTCTCAAGGTGGGTAACAACGATGTAAAGCAAACTGATAAACATCAAGACAAAGATATAAATAATTTTTAAAAGTAGTCCAAAAATACCTTATGCCTCTCTACCTTCTACTTTATGAATGGAAGTCTATCCTAGCAATAAAATATAAAACCTATAAATTGTTCACATTTCATTCTCTTAAATATTACTTTTTCCTGCTGTTAGACAGAACTCTGTGTGTGCGTGTACCAACATACATGCTCATACACAGTTTATCTATCTTTATAGTTACATTTCAGCACTGTTTATCTATTATATTCCAAAGCAGTCACTACATATCTTCAGATTTTGGTTTGAAAGGCAAATAATTGATTTCTGGCAAAAAAAACAAACCCATATACAAAAGAAGGATATTGACCTCTTTGGCTTACATAGAATTATGATTTAATTATACAGTATGGAACAGTTGCCATCATACTTTCTAGTGCAACCCTAAGCAAATTTTCACCTATCCAAACCCATCAACTGCAATGCATTTAAAACATTACAACTACACTCAAGGTTACACTGTTCACCTCTTCCACATATCCAATGAGTAAAATGTAAGAGAATAACTGAGAGTGTTGAGTTAATGCTGATTGTATCTGCCAAGTTTCACAGTTTTTCTGTGTTTGCTGTTATTAAGCTGTTTTGGTTTGAAGCACTGCATTCCAGTGGCTTGATAGGGAAATGTTCACGGCAGAAAAGTACTATGGGTGATGTACTGTACCACTTGTATAGGTTCTGTAGAAATAAGCTTTCTAGACATTGTATGTGTAGCTTGCTGCCCGGCAAACTGCATTGACCTCACTGGCTTTAATCTCTTGGACTGTGTTCCCCTTTCTTTTGCCCCCTTTCTTTTGCTAGAGGGACGGAAGATAGGCAGATTTTCCGGGCGCGATCTCACCGCCACATCTGGGAAGTGTAGAGCTCCCGTGGCTCACTCGAGGCTTCCCGCCGAAGACGCGCAGTAAAAAACTAGTACCTTGGAGGTACTAGTTTCCGGAAACCGCGGGGCAAGGGCAGGCGTCTGATCGCGTTTCCGGTGGCATCCGGCGGCCGCCCATGCCCCATTGCGAAAAGGTTTTTTTCCCCTGAAGTCTCCAGGGATGCACACAAGCACCCAACGGGGCATGCACATACTTAAGGTTACAAAAAAAAAAACCACAACCCCGTTTGCCGTGCCGCGCCGCTTCTTTGCCGCGTCGTGTGATCGGCACCTCCCCCCTAACCACGGGACCTTGACGGGACCATGAGGGGACGCCTGATCGCCCAGTCGCGCGTTATTTCGCTGTGGGGCAAACAGCCACGCCTCCCCCCCCCCGCAATATCCGGCCAGTGTGACCGGGGCCCTGGTATAATTTCAGGATGGGAGGGTCCATTTCAATGAGCAAAAACACATACCACAAGAATAATTTACCACAGTACAGACACAGGTGTAGTCTACACATGCAGGACACTGAGGTGCAGGACGCGGAATCACCCCACCAGGAATGGGCTTTTTTACTCAGCACTGTTGGTGGGCTTTCTGCTAAAGTGCAAATTTAATGATGCATCACTTAACAAAATGCACACAGAGAGAACACAGTAGATGGTTGGCCACAGATGACTCATGTCACACTTCAACTGTGATGCCGTTTGTGCAAGGTCTAGTGCAAGTTGAGACATGGTGGTTCTTAAAAGGATGTTCAGTTCATGGAGATCTTGATTTGCACGTTTAGCAGCTCTGCCTATTTTTTGACTCTCTTCCATATATGAAGATTTATAGTCAGATAAAAAAAATCCTGGCACTTTAAGAAGTGTGACAACTTTCCCATCTTTGCCTTCAGGCTGGTTTACCTAATTTCTCATTTGGACATAAAAGTCTTTTTAACTCTTGTTAAAGTTGCACAATTGAGCAAGCAACTGCTGCCATAGTCAGTAATCAGTCTTTGTGGAGTTACAGTTTACATCAGATTACAGAAAAGAGGTTGCTGTGTTGATCTATTACTGCTAAAACTACAAACAGTTTTGTGGGATCTTAAGACTAACAAATTTATTGTGGCCAGAGAACTCACTTCATCAGATTTATGAAGGACAACCCTGACTAGAGAGAGCAGGGAGGACTGTGATTTTAGTTGTTTGGTTTTTATGAAGTGAAGCCAAAAAAGCAATTGTCATAGGTGTGCCACAGAACTATACAAAGTTCTAATCAAGCACACTTTGGACTAATAGCCACTGGTTATGAATAGCCAATGGCAAGATCAACAGTATAAAGAGAGGGGCAATTACTTTCCAGAGTTAGCAAAGTATTCTCATGATCCTTCAGGCAGTCATTGAGGGATGGGTGTGTTTGTTTCTGTGTGCATTCCCACGTACCCACAATGACACACACCACTTATGAAAATTGTCTCACCTTTCTCCAGGCTGCAGTTCCTGGACTTGTGTCATGCTTTCTGTATTTTTAAAAATAGGTTTTTACTTATACATTCCCCAAGGAGCTCAGGGCAGCGTACGTGATCCTTATACCCCATTTTGTCTGCACAGCAACTCGGTGATGTAGGTTTGGCTGAGAGAGTGATAGGTCCAAAGTGAGCTTCATGACAGAACAGGCGCAGCTGTGGGGCACTGACCTAGATGAGCTCCAGCAGAGATTTCACTAGGATCGATTTGCAAAAACAGCTACAAAAAAAAATCGTTCATCAATACAGAGCCAGATGCAAAGACACAACCACCCATGCCTGAGAGCTGGAATTGTACAAGCAGGGACCTACAACAAAATTGCTATGAATTATTTTTTTTAAGTCATCCAAGGATGGCTGCAAAGGTAAGAACAGTCCCACGTTTTCAGGCCATCCTCAAGGCTGTGAAAGCACACCTGCTGGTGCAGCCCCAACAAGTGCTCTCCCCAGGCTCTGATAATGGCTATCAAGGAGAACACCGTCTGTTTCAGGTGTCATTTTCGTTGCTATGGAAGCCTCAAGGCACATTGCTGTAGGCTTATGTGGCGTCCTCCTTATTCTGGAGGTCTGGTTTCACTTTAAAAGTGTTCTTTATCTTCTTTTACTGGATATATACGGCTGCCACCAGGAAATTTTAAGGATTTCCAAACCTTTATGCTTTTACTGTTGCTCTTTTTAATTTGGTAGACCGAGTTCAAGGCTTACAGGGATCTATGTGGTCCTGGGAAGTATTTCATTCAGAGCTGGTATAACTTCGGATGAAAGAGGTTTTATTGAAATAACTACTAAATAAGAGGGTTGTACAATGTAACTAGTAATGTATAAATGATGAACAATTGCTTTGGTATCACACAATCTTATCCCTCACTGACAGGGATCTTTCAGGTAACTTTGTAACACTTGTTTAACTCAAGGTCATATATGTTCACTGTTTCTCTCCAGTTTATCAGGACATACAGCCTTTCCTATAACTTGTCTTCAATTAAACTCTCATTTACTTTTTCCTATACACTCAGCTTTCCTTCTGTTTCTCACTGAACTACCTCAGCTGTCCACTTATAACTGCTTCAACACAGAACTGCTTGTCTCTCCTTTCACACACAGAACTAACTGAACCTATCAACTGTCAAACCTGTAACTGTAAAACCTGACTGACATACATACTCATCCACTCATTTTCACTTCCAAAACCCTTCCCCCTCTCTGTCAACCACCATTCATACCACACTTGCATCTCTCAACCACTCTAGTCTACTTACCACAGCCATGCAACCAAACTTTTAAAAAGACACGCCCACACAACAAGGAATCGTTACAGCTTACTTCCAGACAACAGGGTAGACAATGGTTGCAAGATCTGCAGTCTTACGAAGGGGTGACCACAGCTCCTAGCTTGCACCTGTTGTGCATTTTGGTGATAGGGCTGCCAACTCCCCCGGTAGGGCGGAAATCCCCCGCCCTGGAGGCCCCGTTCCCCGACACCGGGGAATTGGGGCCCGGGGGAACCCCGCCCCGGCGTGCGCGTCACCGGAAGTGACGTCGCGCGCTGGGGGCGGGGCCACGCCATTTGAGGGGAAAACTCTTTGTTTTCCCCTCAAATGGTGTGGCCCCGCCCCAGCGTGCGATGTCACTTCTGGTGACGCTCTGGCGGCGCGCGCGCGCATCCCCGACTGGCTCCCGGAGCGACTTGACGCTCCCCCGCTGGTAAGTATTTTTAATTTGGCAACCCTATTTGGTGAACTTTAGATATGTGGCTCTTTTCTCGCTTTGTATTTTAAAGAAAGTTTGTCTTCTAAAGTGTGTCTCCAGGCCACAAAAATCTCCTCAACAACCACATGCAGCTCGTGGGCCATTTCCGGCCCAAATGACTGTAAGCTATATAATATTGAACGGGGGGGGGGAAACATTATTATTTTTTTAATCCAATACTCAATTCAGTTAAAAGGAGCAAGAAAGAAAATAATTAGGGTGGTAGCTTTAGAAGGAAAAACAAGCAAGACCGGAACAGAAATAATCTTCCTCTAGGAAATGAATGTTTATGCATCTTCATCATAAAATACTCCAGGTGATAATACTATTCAGGCCACAGGCAAAACTAGGCTCCAAGCAGAGCTCATTAGGAGTCACATTTAGCTTTCAGATCCGTAATCAGGGTGCCTGATGAGGCAAATGAGAGTCTGCCTCCAAGCAAGTAATCAGCTCTTTTCTGCACTACGCTGGTGCATTTCGCTCGGTGTTGAGGCATCCGTTCTTCTTTGCTCCTGCGGGCTGGGCCTCATCAGCTGCAGCACCTGTGTGAATCCACTCACTTCGTTCTGAGATGAGGAACTGTGAGGCTTGCGTAAATGAATGTATTTCCTTAAGTGCCACTGCCGCCATTTCCTACGAATCTCCTGCTGCACCTAGGTGAAAAGTTTCAAAGTACAGTTTCAAAGACAGAGAGCACTCCTAAGAAGAGCCAAAAGATCTGCTCGTGGGGCAGCCAGCTTCTGGATGTGTGAGCTGTATGGGGCTGGTGATGGTCACCCAAGTATCTCCAGCCACAACATTGACAACGTGGCTCAGTTGGTCAGTAGGGCCACCTCAAAAGATGAATATGGCTAATGAGAACCAGGACAATGCAAGGCCACCAGGGAACACTAGGGAAGCCCAAGTTGAACAGCAGTGTACCAAAGGCAAGGCCGGGCACCTTGAAGACGATCACCATGGAAATGGGGCCTCTGCAAGGCATGGAAGCGTCAAGGGGACAGGAGACAGTGGCAGGGCCTGTAGAGCCGACCTAGAGCTTTACTTTACTTTACTTGACAATTCGATTTATATACCGCCCTTGACCCCTAAGGGGTCTCAGAGCGGTTTACAAGTATACTACTACGTAGTTTTTGTCCTAACCTAGGGCCACAATTCGAAGGGAGAGGGGCTGCCTACCGACACCCAAGCGGCGCGTTCTCTCTTTTTTGTTGATTTTCCGGGTGGGCTTCGGATGCTGTTCCCGGCACCTCAGGCTGGCTGGCGGCTTCCTCCGGTAGGCTTCTGGTGGACTCCTCCGACACGCGACCGCTTCCGACTGCAGCTTCCGGCTTCCGTCCCTCAGGCTCCGCCGCGCTGTGTCGTCTCGCCGTCGTGCCGCCACAGCTCCGCCTCCATCCAGTTCTGCCGCTGCCAGATCCTTGGGTCGCCAGCTGTTCTGCCGCCATTACCGCTGCTACCGCCACCGCCGCCAGCACTCCCGGCACACACCACCAGGAGGAGGGTGCCCCCTGCCACCTAGGGCAGGTACCCATTTGTCTACTTGCGAATGCTTTCGAGCCGCTGGGTGGGCGGGAGCTGGGACTAGGGCCAGGAGCTCACCCCGGCCGCGGTGGGTCTCGAACAGCCATAGTGGCTGTTCACTAGTGTTGTTACTGCAGGCGTTGTACTGCCTGCGCCACCGCTCCTTTTTAAGCTATTTAAGCCCTTCCAGCCAGGGGCCAAGAAGGACAATGTCAGGCTGACTCCTCTCCCAGGGCATGATGAGCTAAGCTAAGGGAGGAGCAGGACACAGGTGAAGGCAGAACCTCCTCCCCTCCCGATCTGAGGCTCCTCAGCAGGATCAGTGTGCTAGGAAGCACCTGGAGGTACTCTAATCCCTCTACACCCCCACATGGACCATAAAACAGAGCAACAACATATTTTATTTCTCCCCTACAACCAGAGCCACACAAACAATTGTGTGCATGGTGAGTTATACCCCCATTTCTGGGTACTGACTGGCAGCATGGAAGGCAGGGCTGGTCCGTCCATAGAGACGAGTTAGGTGGTTGCCTAGAGCGCCACCATCACGGGATTGCTGGCTGCCGCCTGGGGGTCAAACATGGAGCTGAGCTGCGCCTCCGCCTGGCATGCCCATGTGCAGCAGTGCCAGGAGGTGAACATGCCCCAGTGTAGAAACGTTCCAGGGATGGAGCATGGGCTGCAGGGAGGTGCTCAGCTCGGCAGCCAGTGGGCCCTCACCTGAGCAGGGCATCTTCAGGTGGTGGCGGCGGGCAAGGCACTTCCAGTTGGTGCAGCAGAGGCTTCGGTGCAGTCTGGCAATGGAGGAGCCTCAGCAGTAGCTGTCACCATGGGCTCAGAGCTGCCTCAAGGGAGGCATTAAAGTTGTGAGCGGGCAATTTGGCTACTGCATAACTTAATTTGCTCAGGAGCCAGGGCACATAAATCCTTCTTGAGCTGAGACAAAAATCTGTGAGCTGGAGGCTAAAAAACTGTGAGCTAGCTCACACTAACTCAGCTTAGAGGGGACACTGGTGGCAACACTACTGAAGACCCTTGAAGTATGTCAAGGACTCTAGTCCTCCATTTTTTATGTAGTGTGCCACCAGTCCCAATGGGCCTCAGCCAAGAACTCATTTTGGTTCCGTCTGATTCATAAGATTTGGTATGCCCTTCCTCTGGACTAAGGGGGGGGGGGCTCTTCCCTCATTTCAAAGGACCATATCTTCCCTCACTGTATCTTTCCAAATATAGCTTTCCGCATTATAAGGACCATACGCGAATCAGCCCCTATGGCTTAGCCATGGTGTAAGAAAAAACCTAGCATGGTTGACGTGACAAGCGATTGATAAAATGGGGGGGGGATACCTTCAGTTATAGTAAATTTGTGTTTGAGGGATGCTTACCTCGCCATTAAGAAAGCAGTAAATCACAGCCACAACAAAACCCTGAAACAAAGTAGAGCCATATTACCAGATGTGTGGGTGTGTAAAGTGCCATCATGTCACGGAGCAACTTATGGCGACCCCAGGCTCACCTTTGTCTTCCTCTGCAGAGTCTTCCCTGGAGGTCTCCCTTCCAAGGACCGACCCTGCCTAGCTTCCAAGATCTGACGAGATTGGGCTACACCATGCTGCCTGCCCTCCCCGTATTACCAGATATACAACTGAAAATGGCTAATTGGACTCCTAAATAAACAAAACATAGACTTTCTACACATGCAGGTGGTTGTTGGTTGGTTGTATGCCAGTTCCTTCCAAAGACCAAGTGACTTATACTTGATGGGTGTTGCCACATGGATTATTTGCCCCAAATTTCATGCTCTAGGAAATGGGGTTTTTTTCCTGCTTCCACAAAGCATCGTGCATTCATTCATCTCCTGGGGTCTCCACAGGTTTTCTCTTACCTTTCCCAAATCTGCTTTGCCCTGAAGTTTTGAGAAACATCACAACTGAGCCTGGTTGGCTGCAGTGTGAGCGAAAATGTTTACGTTTTCACAGTCCTACCCACACTGCGGCCATTTCCCCCACAACAGCCACTTCCACTCCCTGTCACTGAGGCTTTTTTCTTTCCCTTTCAATCAGCAATTGAACACCATTATATTGATATACTGTTATACCAATGTGCATATCAAGTTCCCTTTCACTGTGAAGATATAAGGGGAAAGGCATATCTCTGCAAGGAAAGGAGCTAGATACCTTTTAAGAGTAATGTTTTAAAACTTAAAAAAAAATTAAAAATTAAATTGAGAGGGTCTTGTACATATATTGATATAAAATACATCAATACACCACTATTCAATCACAATTAAAAAAAAAAAAACGCCAGGGAAAACTGCTGCGTGGAAGCCATGTCATCGCTGCATTGTATTAGCACACAAGGCTGTCTGCCATGTGGAAAACAATGGTGACATGATATAGTCTGGTCTTTGTCCTTGCTCTCTAAAAGATATAGAATCCACTACACACAGCATACTTCATTGCCCCCTCTATAGGGATATCCGATCTCATTTTATTACTCCATTGCTAGAGGGTAAGAGCTGGCACTCTGATGACTCAGTTGTTCACTTTCTTCTGCTTAATTCTAACTGCGAAATAATGGAGGCTGTTGCAAAAAATTTTATATTATCCAATCAGAAGACGAGGCTTGAATAGCCAAGTGTAAGTGACTGATGCATCTTAGTATTTTCCCGTATTTCCATGATGTTTTGTGCTTTCATGCCAATAAAGGTTTTGTGTGTGTGTGATATAGTCTGGTGAATACTAATTCTGATAAAGGATGCAGTGTTTCCTATCCCACAGAGTCTTCTTGCAACATGGTAACTCTTCAAGAAAAGTAACATGAAATAAGACGAAACAGGTCCTAGGTAGGCTGCTAGTCATGTTAACGTGCATTGAGAAAAATGGAATTTCTAGGCTGTTACGTAATCAGAATTCCTATGAGAAGATTTACATGCCTCGGCCAATGTGTATTTCTGAATTTTTCTTCATCTTTCTATTCTTTTACAGCAGGGGTGCACAACTCAAGTTACATGGGCCAAAGTTTTATTCAAAGTATAAGCTTTTGTATGCATGCACACTTCTTCAGATACAGTGAAACGATGTCCTTCCCGGCAACTAAACCCCCCCCCCCATATGTAACGGTTATATCTGAAGAAGTGTGCTTGCACACGAAAGCTTATGCCTTGAATAAAACTTTGTTGGTCTCAAAGGTGCCACTGGAGTCAAACTTTGTTCGTATGGTAGGCTTGCCAAGTCCCCCCGGGGGGGCGGGGAAATCCCCACCCCAGAGGCCCGTTCCCCACTGCCGGTGGATCGGGCCCCGGGGGAACCCCACCCCGACGTGCATGTCACCCGGAAGTGATGCGACCACGCCGGGCACGCTGGGGGCGGGGCCACGGAAAACTCTATGGTTTTCCCTTGGATGGTCGTGGCCCCACCCCCAGTGTGCCCGGCGTGGTCGCGTCACTTCCGAGTGACGAGGATGCGGCCCGCACGCTCCGGCCGCCAGCCGGGAGTCCCCCGCTGCGGCGAAGATCGCACTTGGCAACCCTATCGTATGGTTACATGTAGTGGATATCCATGCCAGAAGAAAAGTCCTCACATTTCAAGGATTTGCAGTTTCCTTCACTGACTCTATGCCAACTGAGAAAGAAGAGTTCTGAAGGAGTTGCAAAGTTCTTAATAAGAGAATTACCTGGAAAGATCCTAGGACTAGTTCAAACAGAATCTGAATCTCCAAGACGCTACTGTTGGCATCATCCGGGAAAAAAGCACAGATGATATAATGGACTCCAAAGAGAGGGATGAGGACAAGTGTTGATTTTGCTAGTCTCCTAGGAGGAAGAACAGGAAAGGGATGTTGACAGAGGGTGAGTGTCATGTTAACCTCAATATACCTTGAGACCTTATGTCAGGTTGTGGCAACAGCAGCACAAGCAGAGGACATTTCTTCAACAGTTTAAAGGGCAGCATATACAGGGCAAACAGAGAATATCTGCCTCTACAAACCAGTCCTCCTTGTCACATACTTTGGTGGTGCAACTAGAAGTTATAAGAAAGTTGGCCCTAAAGTCTACCCTTGTTCTTTCGTTTTCCCCAAAGAGCTTTACATAGGATTCCTGCATTGCCAACATGCTGTCTGCAGTGTTTTGAGCATGGAAGAGAGAGCAATCTTAAGCCGTTCTACTCATAAAGCAAGGCTTCACTGGTCTTTATCTGACAATAATTCTAAGATCACATGTCAAGTTGCTAAATTTGGTGCATTAATATTCAAGTTACGGGAACTGTAGCTTAAAAGCTCTTAAATTCAATTTTTTTTGTTATTGTATTTTATGTCTGATTAATAAACAAACAAACAAACAAACAAACAAGCAGTTCTACTCAGAATCCTACCCGGGTCTATTTGATGGGGCTTACACCCTGATAGGTGTTGTTAGGAACATCCAGTTAATTCCAGTACCAGGAGCCTTGCACCCAGTTCTGTACTCTGCTGCACAGAAGACCATTATGATGGCCAGGTAGTTTTTCAGCTCCCCACCCATCCAAACCATCATATTTTCCAGCAGCAGTAACCAAGTTGATTTTAGTTATGACAGGGTTGCGAGCAGTCAATAAGGCAAGTTTAACTAATAAAAGTGCTGGATTACATGCTTCTGTTGTCAGGCTTGGGCCTTACTTGCCATAGAATGCTGTCCAGCCGAACACCTGGTCTGTTGTGTTAGGGGCTGTTTTCTTAGACATGCTTCTTTTGCTCTTTTATCTCCCATGCCAAATATTTATTATTATGGTGTACACATAAGTAAAGCATACATAAGGTTAAAAGAAATAGTCCAAATAGTCCAAATAGTCCAAAGCTTATAACATTCAGAGCTGCTAGCTCTACATGTCCAATTGATGGGTAAAACTTTTGACCAATAGACCATACGCATTTCAGCCCCTTCGGGCCTTCCTCAGTGGGGCCAAAACGCATATGGTCTATTGGTCAAAATTATTAAAAATATTTTTTTCTATGCATTAGAATACAATGGTATTCCAAGGAGGTAAAAATAATCAAAACAAGATTACCACCCCTGCTTCTTTGGAAGAAATAAACTTTCTTCCTGTGTATATAGTTCACACTTCTGCAACAGTACCAAACTGCTCCAGTGGACATGGTTGTTGTTGTTTTTTTCTTTAAAAGCCTCAGAATTAAAGATAGCAATAAATAATGCCAAGGAACACATTTTCTTTACCACAGTTCCAGGGGAAATGTGTATGTGCTTGCTGCTATCAGTGCATGCGTGACAACAAAACAAGCTACAGGTAAACTCTTGGGGAAAGGTGAACTTTTCCCCAAGTATTTTTCCAGAAAATTTATTATTTCTGAGGCCATTCCAAACTGAGCAGAAGAGAGTTTGTTCATCTGTGACACATAACTGCAGGCTTTTGTACTTTTAAAGAAGTTAACTTACCTGTATTGATTTGCATCATTACCCCTTCCGTCTGGCCATCTAAGCTTTCCCATCAAAATTCTTAAAGTATTGATAAAGAGAATGAAATTTATCTGCAAAAATAACAAGTTGACATTATATTTTAAAGATGTGTTGTGACCTTATCCACATTTCAGCCTACAGTACAGAAAATTGGGAAACTGACTTACAACAATAGATACCAGCACAGGGCCTCGAATGATCCACCAGACGTTTGTCGGATTAGTGTCCCAACATCTGTGAAGATAGAAAAATTAGTTATGATGTTTCAATCAGCCAAGCGTAACAGAATTTATAGTACCTGTCGACATGACTTCATGTTGCAGGAAATTTTATAATCCTTTCAGGGCTCTTTTTGTAGAAAAAGCCCAGCAGGAACTCATTAGCATAATAGGCCACACCCAACAGCAGAAACTCATTATCATTATACCCCTGCCAGCACAGCTCATTAGCACATTAGGCTACACCCCTATGTTACCAGAAGTGTGGTCATCCAGCCACACCCACCTTTTGCTTCTTATTCTGTTTACCTTGTTTGTTGTCAAAACCCAGGGCTTTTTTTTGTAGCAGGAACTCCTTTGCATGTTAGGCCACACACCCCCTAATGTAGCCAATCCTAATGAGTTCCTGCTATTGGGCGTGGCCTATTATGCTAATGAGTTCCTGCTGGGCGTGGTTAACTTGGGAGCCAGCCAGAACTCCGTTCCTGCGCGTTCCTGCCCAAAAATAGCCCTGAATCCTTTTATTATAAATAAAAATACTGTATAGAATAAAAATACTGTAGAGCAAAATCCCTCCCCCAGATACAGCTTGGCATCCATCATGGTTATGAAAATTATTTGGAAGTTGCACCATTAGAGGAAACTCAATTGTCCATTACAAGCAGGGAGAGCACACTGATAAGAGAAAGGTTATGATTCCAGGAGAGCTCAAGACATTTTCAAGTTCCTAGTAAGGTAAGGAGTCCTAAGTATGGTCCATTCACACTTCTGTTTTCTACATGTTCTGTTCTGCATGATCACCGACTCCCATATGTTTTCTTCCCCCACCCTAAGATCCTCCCTGGAGTCTCTGTTCTCAGTGGCTTCGCCAACCGGTGTGTCCCAGGGAATTATAGACATTCCTTTCCAGGGGTCATTTCGTAGAAAAAGAGGTGCAGGAGCTCATTAGCATAACTCATTAGCATAACTCGTTTGCATATGCCACACCCCCTGACATCACCGGAAGTTTGTCAGAAGGCAACACCCACCACTCAGGCTCCACTGGACTGTTTTGGATTGCTAGCTATGGGGGGGGGGACGCATAGATCTGCCCTCACAGAGGAGGGAGAGCTTGTACCTGAAGGCGGGCCGGGGGGGGGGGCTCTGCAACTTACCTGGCTGCTTCTTGCTCCTCGTGGCCCAGCTGAGGGCTGCTGGGAGCAAGGGGCGGGGCTTGTTGCATGTGCCCGCCCCCTGGGCTCCTTACTGCCGGAGCTCCGCTCCTGTGCACTCCTGCAGGAAATGACCCCTGTTCCTTTCTATGTAGGGTGCCCCCACTTGGCTCACCCTAGGTTTTAACTTGCAAGTCAGGGCAGTTCTCTCTGCCAAAGAGGTTTTGGAATGTCATGGTTGTTTTCAACCCTCCATTGTGCTGCAACTGTGAGTTATGTCTGGCTTTTACAGACTTATAACCAACCATTTGTTTCCAATTATGAGGGCACTTCTCTCATTGGAGGAGGGGGATAATTCGGTTGATTGCCCATTCACACTGCAGACCTCATTTGCCCCCTGCTGCTCCTGAGCAATCATGGATCCCCCCAGGAAAAAAATCTGGTGGGTGCTGCAGTGTGAGGGAGAAACAGGAAGAGAGGTCACATTCCTCACAGATTTTTTTAGGCTATGATCTATTGTTTTAGCAGCTTTGTTGCTATAGTTTTTTTAATGTGGTCTTAATTTGCATTTTGTTTTTTACACAATTTTTTTTCCCTGTTAGCCATCTTGGAGATCTGTAATGAAAAGACCGGACAGAAATATTTTGAAAAACATGATTTATGTATGTCTAAGCGGTGGCTCAGAGGTTAAGATGCTGAGCTGCAGACCGGAAGGTCTGTAGTTCGGCAGTTCAAGACCCTAGTGTCACGTGATGGAGTGAGCTCCCGTCTCTGGCCCCAGTTCCTGCCATCCTAGCAGTTCAAAAGCAAGAAATTGCAAGTAGATAAATAGGTACTGCTTCGGTGGAAAAGTAACAGTGATCCGTGTACCTCGGCGTTTAGTCATACCGCAGGGCTCTTTTGGGGCAGGAACGCACAGGAACGGAGTTCTGGCTGGCTCCCAAGTTGGCCACGCCCAGCAGGAACTCATTAGCATAATAGGCCACACCCAACAGCAGAAACTCATTAGGATTAGCTACATTAGGGGTGTGTGGCCTAACATGCAAAGGAGTTCCTGCTACAAAAAAAGGCCCTGGGATTTGACAACAAACAAGGTAAACAGAATAACAAGCAAAAGGTGGGTGTGGTTGGATAACCACACTTCTGGTAGCATGTGGGTGCGGCCTAATGTGCTAATGAGCTGTGCTGTCAAGGGTGTGGCCCAATATGCTAATGAGTCCCTGCTGTTGGGTGTGGCCTATTATGCTAATGAGTTCCTGCTGGGCTTTTTCAACAAAAAGAGCCCTGCCACATGACCACGGAGAAGTCTTTGGACAGCGCTGACTCTTCGGCTTGGAAACAGAGATGAGCATTGCCCCCTAGAGTCGGATTCGACTAGCTGTTGAGCCAGGGAAACCTTTACCTTTAAAGGCATGTGCACATTCATCTTTTTGATGATCACTGCAATATTGTCATAATTTGCAAGTGTGAAAAAGTCACCACAGATGAACCATCACTGACAGAGCTGCATCAGCCACTTCAGTTCACCCATTCATCTGTGAATCACCTAGGGATGTGTCATTAGCTAACATAGTGTTAGACTTGGGAAATCTGGGTCAAAATCCTTGCTTAACCACCAGCTACTGTTTCTCAAGCTCTACCTCATAGAATTGCTATAAAGATATAAAAACATGTCATTTATATCTCCACTTCCCAAGAATGGTAGTGTTTTCTCCTGTGGCCTCATCAACTCTCTCAGCTCTTTACTATAAAATAGATACTTAGCTAGCCTAAGGTATGGTTACTTCTGTCACTTTATTCTCATATAGTTCTTAAGCTCAAATGTATAGCTTTCCCCTTTCACCCTTTGACCTGAGGCTCTTAATGCACTTTTTAAAATATACAATGTTATTCTTGCTTGATGAGATTTTTTTGCAAAAAGCTCTAACTGGTGAATGGGAAAATATCATAATACAAAGGTTTATGCAACAATACATTTGTGAATTGTTAAGATGCAACAACAGAATAATGTGACTACCCCTCTGGAAAGCATAACAAATGCAGTCATACATCTGCAAATGCAATTTGAATTCAGACAGTTCATGGTCTGGGAGGGCTTTTATAGAGGTTTTGTTTCTGTGGTGTTCAAATGAGTATCACTTTTGTAAAGTTACTTCCAGACTTAAAACTCACATGGTTAGTGATAGAACTGTGGCCTGAAACCAGATGTATTGACATGAGGCTGGATCCTGCCAGCTTTTCTGCTAGTGCAAGACAGAGGAGGAATGATTTTACCCAAATCTGTTCCTCACGACAGTCCTAGTCCACATTTCTTTTTGTATACCTTCCTCCTATGATCCCTGGCATAAACTTTGCCATGGTCAAAAGGGGTCCTTCCTACCTTTTTCACCAGTGGTAAAAGCTCATAGTATCCAACCCATGCTGTTGATCCTTGGAAACTGCATTTTGGTGAGGATCCTGAGTACCGGGAATCCATAGCTCCTTCAGAACAGTTCTTAGGATTCTCTGACTAGGAGTTATGAATTTAACAGATTTGAAACTGAAAAGGGGGAACAAAAGCATTTATGTGTTCATATCCCTCATCTAATTTCATACTCCTCCTTTTTTCTCAAAAATTTCTACAGATTGCAAAATAAGAAGATTACAGATGATTGAAAGCAGCTGTAAAAAGCTTTCTTGTAGACACACAGATGAGGCAATACTAGTTTATGAAACATAAAATGTGGGAGAAAGTTAATACAATTGTGGCTTACCCAATATTTTCATGGAATTCTCTGACTAGGGCCCAAGCCATAATGAACAGGGTCGGGGTGCCTGTAGTGGTGAGTTAATTTTTTTTTATTAGTCCTTACTCATGCAAAAGAAGTCACAAGCAAACTGAATATTTTGACTGAAAACAAAAGTTATCCTTACCCCATCCCAAAACCACAAACCACCAGAAGTACTTTCTTTCTGAGAAGAAAGAAATCACTAGCAAAGTATGAAGGTATAGCCCTTCCACGAGAAGCCAGCTGTAGTTAGACATAATGCAGAAGTGGAAGAAGACCATGGCAATCTTACATCTTACCTGAAGAAACAAAAAGAGAATATGACTGATGACTTATCTCTCTGTCTGCCTCTTACACAGACTTCATCACGAGCACAAATCTTAATTTTCTTACAAGATTGTCAATAGATCCAAAATGAAATGCAGTCTTGTAAGTCATGAACAGTACCCACATTTGCAAATTTATTACAGATTCTCCCAGGTTCATATTTACTTCCTTGTATAATCAATGTACCTTGATTCATTCTCTAGAATGGGTTCATGACATTACATGACTTGATAACCATAATTGTGTTTAAACCTGTTTGGTATTTTAATTTCTCTTCTTTTGTATGGTCTTGTGGTAGTTTCATTTGGTTAATCTGGCCATTCTCCCCCAACACACACACTTGTAATTGTCCTTACAAATCAAAGAGAACTAGATATTATGATCTCAGTTTGATCCGACTCGGGACTTGCAGGGCTCTTTTTGTAGCAGGAACTCCTCTGCATATTAGACGACACACCCCTAATGTAGCCAATCCTCCAAGAGTTTACAGTAGTAGCAGTAGAAGAGCTCTGTAAGCTCTTGGAGGATTGGCTACATTAGGGGTGTGTCACCTAATATGCAAAGGAGTTCCTGCTACAAAAAGATCCGCATGGACTAGGCCTTGACTGTGGTTGATTAGTTCAGTTCTTCATAAACAAATTGAACGTACACACCTAGAATAATGTTCAGTCTCTTTTTTTCCTTAAAGCTGTTTCCAACTCCTCTTTCTTACCATGAATAATCCACAGTAGACAGAATCATCGGTATCTTCAGACAGTACAGCATCTTTGATGAAGTTTGCCATGGCTCGCAAAATGAATGATGCAAACAGATGCATATGGATGTAATTCCTTGTACAGCGAAGTCGTCTGTGCTCCAAAAAGAAAAAAATAGTGCTGGTTTCTGAATAGGAAATTTCTCAGTGATCTCAGCAGTCATATGAATATATACATCTGCTCACTACAGAGATCCCTCCAGTTTAAGAATTTTAACTGTAAACTATCTCCAGGGTCGCAGGTTTAGCTACCTGAGATCCTTTAATTGGAGTTGCCAGAGATTAAACCTGGGACTTTCTGCATGCGCAGGAAGTGTTCTTCTATGCCCTTCAAATCAGATTGAACCCTTAAGTACTCTCAGGGCTATTTTGGGGCAGGAACGCACAGGAACAGAGTTCCAGCTGGCTCCCAAGTTGGCCACGCCCAGCATGAACTCATTAGCATAATAGGCCACACTCAACAGCAGAAACTCATTAGGATTGGCTACATTAGGGGGGGGTGGCCTAACATGCAAAGGAGTTCCTGCTACAAAAAAAGGCCCCGGCCTGCTGTTGGGTGTGGCCTATTATGCTAATGAGTTCCTGCTGGGCTTTTTCTACAAAAAGATCCCTGAGTACTCTTAAGTACCCCATCAACAGTGATCTAATGCCAGTGCCTAATCTGATTACAATATCATGACATGATAAAAACTGAAAGCTTCCAAAAACTCTCACCATTATAATGAACCAGTTGTCACCTTATCTATGTCAGAAAAACCAACAGCATTTGGATCCAATCCATTATCTCTGTCTAAAGCATCCTTCTCCTGCCAACCTAGCAGTTTGAAAGCAAGATATTGCAAGTAGATAAATAGGTACCGCTTCCGTAGGAAGGGAACAGCGTTCCGTGAGCCTTGGTGTTTAGTCATGCCGGCCACATGACCACGGAAACGTCTTCGGACAGCGCTGGCTCTTCGGCTTGGAAACGGAGATGAGCACCGCAACCCTAGAGTCGGACTCGACTGGCTTTCGAGCAAGGGAACCTTTACCCTTTTATAGTATCCTTAGTCCACCTTTCCTCCAGTGTTCTTAGGATGGCATACATGATGGAAACTGTTTTAACTAAGAATACTGACACACTACCCAAGGATACAAGATTTGCTTCTTACTTCATAAGGTTACATCTTGCTATCTTGTCAATATATTTTATTTATTTGTTATATTTATTTATTTATTAAATGATAAACCGCCTTCCCCCCGAGGGCTCAGGGTGGTGTACATCATATTTCAAACATAGAATAGACTGAAAATATACAATAAATAGAAAATTAGTGCAGGTAACAAATAATTGATAAGTAATACAGGTAACAAATAATTGATAAAATAATAATAGAGAAAACAATAGTTTACAGTTTTGCGAGAATGCCAAGACTCCTTTCTACAAGTTCTTCATAAGAAACCAGCATATTTAAAAGAATTTAAATTTGTTGTGTAAAAATATATTTAAAATACAATCCATAAAACACAGCATAGGCTGCAAAGTCATCTCCACTAACAAATGGGGGAGACTTTTGCTGATTCCCCCACACACACCCACCACAGGATCCCATATTACACTTCCACATGGTTCTTGAGATTCCCCCCAACCTCCACGGGTAGTGTTTCAAGGGACAGGGAGACGGGAAGAAAAGATCTTTAGAGCCTATCAGTAGTAAGAATGGCACAGGGAACAACAATGCTTTGCAGGGGGGAGGATGTCTTGATGGTACGGTGGGAGGGTGGGGAGATTTCATGCCAATGTAGTTTGAAGATTAATAAATTTGGTTCTTTACAACTTTGGGCTTATTCCGTCCTCTGCTTTCTATAGTCATGCAGTCCTAATTGTTCGTTCGTCCAAAATTCCATTCAACAACTGCAGATACTATCATTTTGTCTATTAAAGGATTCACCCGAGAAGGAAAGCAAATGAAAATATAGAAAAAAAGAATTTTTCCTCACCTGAAAGAAGCCAGAATGCCTAAGGCCACTGTCAGGGCCGCCAGGGAGAAACTGTATCCAACAGTGTATGCAATATTTAACTTCATAATATAAGACTGCTGTGAAAAGACATACGACAGCACTTAGTTCAGGCAGAAATGTGTTCACACTAGGAATTCACCCAATTCATCATCTTGTTGTCACCGTTGTTAGTTTACAACATGCAGAGCCAGTTTGGTGTAGTGGTTAAGTGTGCGGACTCTAATCTGGGGGAACTGGGTTTGATTCCCCACTCCTCCACTTGCACCTGGCTGGATGACCTTGGGCAAGCCATAGTTCTGATAAGAGCTGTCCTTGAAAAAGAGCAGTTTCTGTCAAGAGCTCTCTCAGACCCACCTACCTCACAGGGTGTCTGTTGTGGGGAGGGGAAGGGAAAGGAGTTTGTAAAGTATGCCACAGCCTGACAAAGAAACACATCTATGCAGGGTAGCCAGCGTCCTATTTAAAGCAGGTCACCTGTCCTGTACCTACACTTGTAGCACTGGTGTACAAGGAACCAGTGGCTTGGAGAGACAGGCTGCAATGCACTGCTAATGCTGCATGTGTAGAACCAGGCCCAATTTAAGCTTAATGCCAGTCACAATTAATCCTGAACAGGTATGCTTCTTTTATGTATCCCATATCATGTTTAATATGGGCTTTTGGAGGAAAGGCTACAGTGAGAGAAACTAGTTGAAGAATCTCTCACACATCCTCTTCCTAATTCTCTATCCAGGAATATATTATTATGGAAAATAATGATGATCATGATGATAATGTGCTTTAAAAACTAGTCTTTGAAAAATAGGACCAACCTACCAGGGCCCAAGTCCACAGCACTGTTAAAATCTGGGAAGACATTATAGGTGGTCATGTGTCTAACCACAATAGTGTCTATGAGTACTTCAGCAGATATGTAGGGAGTGGCAGTGATGAGAAGACCATATCCATTGTATAACTGGATGACAAGGGCTCTTTTTGTAGCAGGAGCTCCTTTGCATATTAGGTGACACCCCCCCTAATGTAGCCAATCCTCCAAGAGCTGACAGAGCTCTTCCTACAGGGGCTACTGTAAGCTCTTGGAGGATTGGCTACATTAGGGGTGTGTGGCCTAATATGCAAAGGAGTTCCTGCTACAAAAAGAGCCCTTATTTCTTGATGATCCCCTCCATCTATTAAGTACTGATCTGCGTACTTCTTGGACCGGCTCTGCCTTTTCTGATCCAGTTTTGGCCTCTGCAATCCAGGTTCTTACTCTGTGTACCTATATTTTTCTGTGCCCTGCCTCAGCCTGCCACCCATCCTTGATCTAAGGTTGCTTTCATGTGGAGGTTTTGCTCCATATTCCCTGTAAAACTGCAATGTTGGGTTTTTTCCCTTCGACATCAAATTATCGTTTAATCGACCACTTTCATTTTAAAAAAGCAGACTCAGAGAAGGTTTGGGAGCCATGTAGCTGGGACATCAATTTCCACACCTCCCCGTCCCCACCTTGCACCATCATGCCCCCCAACCTCCCCTCCTGCCACCAGCACACTTTTTTGTTAGTAGGTCTGTCACTGTAGCATCATTCATTACACTGTAGCAATACATCTACTACCATTTTTTTTTCAAAATCCCAGGAAAAAGCATTCTGGCAGTGATGGAGGAGTAGGTGGGTGCCAGAATGCAGTCCTGGCTACCGGAAATGCAGAGGCATTTGCTGAAGCAATGAAGGTTCTACAAGGGTGATTTTCCATTGCCAGGACTGCATATCAAGGAATCTTCCCTGTGTGGATGTCTTGACTCAAATCCTGATGCAGACGTGACTTGATTAAGACTGACCTCTGTTTACTTAGCACAAGCACTAGGTTGAATCCTACAAGGCACAAGTACAAGGAACTCACAGAACTGGATCTTCTCCACCTTCCCCAATACATAAGAACATAAGAGACGCCAATGTTGGATCGGGCCAAAGGCCCATCCAGTCTAACACTCTGTATCACACAGTGGCCAGAAATACCAGTGCCATCAGGAGGTCCAGCAGTGGGGCCAGGACATTAGAAGCCCTCCCACTGTTGACCCCCCCCCAGCACCAAGAAGACAGAGCATCACTTGCCCCAGAGTCCCTATCTATACCTCGGGGCTAATAGCCACTGATGGACCTCTGCTCCATATGCTTATCTAATTCCCTTTTGAAGCCGTCCATGCTTGTAGCCGCCACCACTTCCTGTGGCCCCTCCAAAAACAAAAACAAAAAACCCTCCCAAATTGTCTTTGTGTTGATAGGGGGCTATCCCGGACAAAATGCCCTGCAGCAAGCGAAGCTGCAGGGAGGAGACAGAATTTGTGAAAATCATCACCCCAGCCTCTTCATCGGCAAAGAAATTGCTCAGCTGTGGAAGGCAGGGGATGTCTGCCTCCATGAGCTCTTTCATTTGTAGGGTTCAAACCACCATTTCCTTTCTGTATAAGTAATATCCACCATTCAATCCCAACTTTATAAACCCAGTTTACAAAAAAAAAATTAACCAGACTCAGAGTAACTTTACACATTATTGTAAATTTATTTTTGTTCCTTTGATTGTACTCCACACAAGTCTTTGATTCTTTCTATTTAACCCTAAGTGGAGGGGGGAAGAATTATCTCAGGGTGGTGATCTCCTTTGTCTGGTCAGCTATTGTTGTTTGGTTGCTGTATCTACTCTTATGGATGCTGTCTTGTGGGCATTGCTACAATGGTCTGCTCCCACAGAACAGATCAGTCTATTTTGAAGGATTTTTTTGTTTGTTCTGATTGGACAATACTATGTTCTGTCACTAGGTGCTGCTAGTTTTCTTGATTTTCCAGATCTCCGTCATGCTGTCTACCAAGCAGCCAGCCATAAGAAAGGTGAACCTAGCATTCTAAATGTAGAGAAAGGATCTTGGGATGCTTCCACATGGTAATGGTTACCTGCATTGCTTTTATCACTACTGTAAATGCAGAGCTTCCACACATGGGAGTTTTCTGCACACTTTCCTCCATCTTTTTTCCAGCTTCTCCATTCCATATGTATTCAGCAGCAACTCTGCACTGGCTTTCCGTTGTCACTGTGACAACTTGACACACACACACCCTTTTGGTTATTGCTGGAAACATGGTGCTCACAACAGGCTGACCACAACAAATGCACAGAAATGGACAGGACTTTTGTAGGGCAAGAAAATGTACCCCATTCCTTCCGGAAGGTACAGGCTGATAACATAGCAACATCATGTGGAAGCTCACCAAACAAAAAAGGCACTCAAGTTTTGAAGCCATGATGAAGAGAGACCTCTGTGAGGAAGCAGTCTTCAGCAGCAGCTACTTCAGACCAACACAGCTACCCAACTGAATCTAGCTAGTGGAAAAGTCTGACTTCCTGACTGAAAGTCCGGAGAGTCGAAGAGAAGACAATACTGAGCTTGATGGACCAATGGTCTGTCTCAGGATAAGGCAGGTGCCCTGAAAACAAATGCCTCATAATACAGCAATTGTGTGTTCATTCAAACCACCGACACCATAGACTTTTGCCATATCTGTAGCTGTTCTTCCATATTTTGGCCCCGGTCACACGGGCAGGAAAATGTGGGGGGGAAGCGTGGCTGTTTGCCCCGGAGCAAAATAACACGCGGCTGCGCGATCAGACGTCCCGATGAGGTCCTGTCAAAGTCCCGTGGTTAGGGGGGAGGTGCCGATCACAGGACAATCCTGATGCGCGGCAAAGAAGCGGCCTCCCTAACAAAAGGCTTTAACCCCTTCCAGGGCTGCAGAGGAATGCAACGTGTCCTCCATCCGATCCCCTCCAGGAGGAGCTTCAGCCGGGCCGCCCTCCCACCACACGCCCCCTGCACCTCCCCCTCTGCCGCCCGGTGCAGAGAGTTCCTCTCGAGCAGGCCAAGCCAGGAGTGGGAGGGGTACGGAAAAGAGGAGGGGGCTGTGTTGTTTGTTTTTAAATGAAGTGTGCGCATGCGCCGTTGGGTGCTTGTGCGCATCCCGTGGAGACTTGAAGAAAAAAACCTTTTAGCGATGAGACATGGGCGGGCACCGGATGCCACAACCTACCACCGGAAATGCGATCAGGCGCCCCCCCCCCGCTCAGAGGTACTAGTTTTTTACTCCGCATCTTCGGTGGGAAGCCTCGGGTTCGCCACGGGAGCTCTACGCTTCCCAGATGTGGCGCTGTGATCGCGCCCAGAAAATCCACCTATCTTCCGTCTCTGTAGCGTGGCTAATGTTCCGTGTGACCGCAGCCTTAGTTTCGTGGGTTTGGGAGCAGGCAATAGAGTTTGCATACAGCATTACAAAGCCCATCTAACTAAAAGTTTCGAAATTAGCAGTACCTATTGACAGAGAATAATATTATCCAATCAATCTGATTGTCTTCACCTAGGTTTTACTTATTTATAAAGATTAAAAAAAAAACAACCTTGCTTTTCAGCAGGTACAGCTCTCACACAAATTGCATAAATAAAAACATAAACCAAACACTGGCATCACTGAACAAACGTGAGCAAAAAAAAAATTAGAAACCTCAGTTAACAAAGCCACCAAATTCTAGCCACCAAATGTATGGATGAACAACTGACTTACAAGCACCAAGGTCCCCTCTCTGTTGAATCCCAGCAACAAATTAATTCCATAATCTGGGGGCCATCATTAAAAAAGTGCTAATTGTGGTGACCACCAACCTGACTGAAGGAGGGTCCACCAAAATATTGTTTGTACTTGATTTCATTGGGGAGGTACATATTGAGATGGTGCTTCCTCAGATACGAATCATTTGAACTCACCCGTGGTCTCTGTGCAATTAAAGTAGCATTCACTTCTTTCAGATCATAGTCACAAGCAATGTGCGTTCTAGGGAACCTCTTTGACCAGCCTTCCCTGGTGCAGTTACGATATATATACCCTGGATGGCAATGTAAGCAAAAAAATAAATTATATGATTAGGCAATGCACTGTACATTGGTCTCCCCTCAAAATCAGTTCAGAAACTACAGTTGGTGCAGAATGCCACAGCTCAGCTATTTCCAGAAGATAGATGGAGTATGCATATTACATTCTGCAATCACTCCATTGGCTGCCCATTAGTTACCAGAATCAATTTAAAAGTATTCGCCGTCACATACTGTTAAGTCGCTCGCTTAACAAAGTAGTCGGAGAGTGATTCAGCAAAGGTTCAACTTTATTCAACAACTCGAACACAACTCCAACATGGATCAACATCTGATAGCCAGAACAGCTTTAGCATTAAAGCTGTTCCCTTTTTAAACTCTTCCGGCTAATGTAGCCACACCTTACTGTACATTACCAACCAATGAGATTGTTTACATAAGGACCAATCATTGATGTTCCCGCTCAGGGAGCTTGCTGACAAGTGATTGGTAGGTTCTTCCTGGGCTAGCATTGTGATTGGATGGATTTGGATCCTAGCCCAGGACGAAGCTTTACATGACACTTCAACGAGGTGATTCACATACACATGCATTCAATGGCAGTTATTGAATACATTACACATACAAAGCCCTTCACGGCCTTGCACCCTCATACCTGAGAGACCGTCTTCCCTCCTACGCTCTACCGTAACAGCTGAGCAGGGCCTTCTGCAGGTGTCAACATGCAAATGGGCAAAATCAGCAAGTGCCTGTACAGGTGCCTTCTCCATTGTGGTGCGCCCCCCCCCCCCACCTTGTGGAATGGTCTGCCTGGGGAGGTCAGGAAGGCTCCCGCTCTCCTGGCTTTCCACCAGCTATGCAAAACTGAATTATTCAAGAGGGCATTTCTACACAGGCAACAGGGTAACGTTGTACAAAATGATTCACAAAGCTACGTGAGCAAATGATTAGGGACTGTGGCCTATACGACTGTGGGGTCTTTGAATGACAAAGGAATAAAGTGGAGCCTTTGGGTGGCAAGGAACTAAATGAAGATGGGGAGATGGCAGAGAAGCTCAACAATTTTTTTTGCTTCTGTGTTCACGGTGGAAAGTGTGGAGCCCGTGCCACAGCCCCTCAGAAAGGGAGTCTGAAGAACTGAGCCAAATTGAAGTGACCAGAGATGAAGACTTACTGGGGAAATTACAAACCAATAAGTCTCCAGGTCCTGATGGCATACACCCAAGAGTTCTTAAGGAACTCAGATGTGAGATAGTTGATCTACTAACCTGTATATGCAGCCTATCACTAAATTCAGCCACTGTACCAGAAGACTGGAGAGTAGCAAATACTACACCAATTTTTTAAAAGGGATCCGTAGGGGAACTAGAAAATTACAGGCTAGTCGGCCTAACAACTGTTTCAGGCAAAGTAGGAGACACTATAATCAAAGAGAATTGTTAGGTACATAGAGGGACAAAGCCTGCTGAGGGGAAATCAGCACAGCTTCTGCAAAGGGAAGTCCTGCCTCACCAACCTTTTGCCGTTCTTTGTGAAAGTGATCAAGCATGGAGACAACAGTGACTTGGTAGATATATACTTGGACTTTCAAGAGGCTTTTGACAAGGTACCTCACCAAAGAGTTGTGAATAGACTTAGCAGTCATGGGATAAGAGGACAGTTTTTCTTATGGATTAAAAAGTGTTTAAATGACAGGAAGCAAACAGTAGGAATAAATGGACAGTTCTCACAATGGAGGGAAGTAAGCACTGGGGTCCCACTGTCAGCAAGCTGCCAATGTGTTTTCTTATGCGTTCTGTATGCCATTGTATATTCCCTATGTAGGCGCTTCTCTGTTCTCTAGATATGCGCTTGTCTGCTTTCACTTTCCCATGTATGCTGGTTGTTGCGCTTAATTGCCTAGTTGCAGGAACGTCCGTATCTCTCAAGGCCACAGGTGGTTGCTGGCGGGTAGGAGCTTGGGTGATCTCATGGTACTATCCATGAGAAGCAAATATGTTATGGTTACCCGAGGCTCAATGGCGCGCGCGGGAACTCCCGTAATTGGGCCTCAGCTTTTTGAATTTCCTATAATCCATTGAGTCCCATGCTTTTGCCTCATTCTGAACAGTGATCCTGTTATGCACCTATAGCTTCAAAAATAAAGTAAAACCTTTTCTACAAGTGTGTACTTTGTTGATGTGATGGGAATCTGACACCCAAAAGGGCTGGTACTATGGGGGCTGGTACTATTTAATTTATTCATCTGGAACGAAGGATAAGTAGTGTAGTGGCCAAATTTGCAAATCAGGATGGTGAAAACCAAGGCTGACTGTGAAGAACTCCAAGAGGACCGCCACAAACTGGGTGAGCGGGCGGCAATGTGGAAAACAAAGCTCAAAGTTGGTAAGTGTAAGGTGATACATACTGGGAGAAAAAAAATCCAACTTCAAGTCTAGGCTAATGGGGTCCGAACCTGCTGAGACTGAGAGGGGAAAAGATCTTGGGGTCGTAGTGGATAGCTCAATGAAAGTGTCAACCCAGTGGGCTGCAGTGGTGAAAAGGGCAATTTTTTTTTTTTTGGGGGGGTATGATTAGGAAAGGGACTGAGAATAAAATGGCCAATATTGTAATGCCCCTGATGGAAGACTCGGACGACGACATGAGTTTGCACACGTTTCTTGTACTTAACACAAGACTAACCAAAACGGCCCTGCAAGGCCAACTATATACACACCCACCCAGCACAGCCCTGGTCCATTGGCAGGTTTGAATCTCCCGCCCAAGTGGCCAATGGTTGGAGCTGGGGGGAACTAGGATCCTATGTTCCCATTGTCCAGGGGACCCAAGCTCCTGTCTTGCCGCGGACCCCTAGTGGCGGTCCACGTACACAACAGCCCCTGTACAGATCTATGGTGCGGCCTCATTTGGAATACCGTGTACAGCTCTGGTCACCATATCTCAAAAAGGATATTGCAGAACTGGAAAAAGTACAGAGGAGGGCAACCTAGATGATTAAGGGGTTAGAGCACCTTCCCTAAAAAGAATGGCTGAAGAGCAAAAATTTTCTCCCTCTCCCAAAAGCCGGACTGGAATGGATACAGTGCCATTGTGTCATCCAGGAAATTCTGGAGTTGCTCCGCCAACGCTCTCTCAGTTACCTTTCCCAGAAATAAAAGATTTGAGACTGGGCGGTAACTGGATGGATCCATAGGTCCAAAGTTGGCTTCTTTAAGAGCAGTACAAGTACAGCCTCTTTTAATCCCTCCAGATAGACCTCCAAATCAAGGGACAGATTGATATCATCATCATCATTATTTATTACGGTCAAAGACCCATCAAACAGCATACAGGATCATAAAAAGCAAACCCAGGTTACCAAAACATTAGAGAGAAGATACATCATAAGGAATATTAAGGAGGAGCTTGCGCTTTGCAAATGCAATAAAAAGAAATTTAGCAACATTCCTTGATATTGCAATGGATTTGACCTCCAATAGATATTTCAGCACAAGTTCCTCAGAGTGGGTTGCTAGTTGTCCTTGGACCCTAAATGACCTTAATATAGGTGTAATTAAGAGAACTCTTTCTTCTGCATAATAAGAGCAATGAAATGGGACAGATTGATAATATCTACCAGAGGGTCCCAGCCTTCACCAGCCACGAGGGACATGTGTCTAAGAGGGAGACTTAGATACAGTTGGAAATCTGGTGCCTATTTGCAGGGCTGGAAGACATGATGGTGAAAGGGAAGGGGGGGCATTTTTAAAATCCAAGCAGCCTTGCTTCTGGTTAAAATTCTTGGGTTGATTATGGGACTCAAGACTTTCTGGAGGGCTGGAAGACGAGTTTGTGAAGGGGAAGGGGTTGGAGAATGGGCATTTTTAAAATCCAAGCGGCCTTTCATTAACCCCCTGAAAAACTAGAGTGTGATAATCCACGCTGTCCTGAAAGCCACTTAGCAGCCAATCGAGTCTGAGCATGGATGGGTTAACATCAGGATGTTTGTCACACTGAATCACTGATGCCCTGAGCACCCACTGCCCAATGAGCTACTTCTCTTTTCCCAGGTGACAACAGCCACGATTGCACTGCATCAGTTCATCACTTGAGATGCTCAATAGAGTCAATGCATCTTTATGGTACCACTATGGCACTGAAGTGCTATATCGGTTTAGCGGTTTAGCATTCACATTAGAACTGATTTTTTAAAAGGCTGAGGAAGATTGCGTGCCCGGCGGAAAAGGATGGTGGTGGGGGAATGGCATTGCAGGAAGCACTACAGGCATTTCAAACAGCACAACACAGTGATTCAGAAGCGCAATGAAGGGGTTGAAAACAGAAGAAAGCAGTTCACATCAACAATGGCTCGGGATTGCTCCACCAACGGGAGGCAAGCAGGTTTGTATGAACAGTAAATAAATTCAGCTAGCAGCCGGTTACTAGAACGGGTCTGTCTGAAATGACAGGGAAAATCTGTTAGTAACCTGTTACTAAACCGGAATAGATAGGCAGTCTGAAAAGGGCCAAAGAGTTTCTCCATGTGAGAAGCAGAAACAGCTGGGTGGGATTTGTCTTATGGAATGCCAAAGGGTTATGTTCTCTCACCCATGCTCTTCAATATCTATATGAGACTGCTGAATGAGATCATCCAGATCTTTGGAGATGAGTGTCACCAGCATGGAGACGGCACCCAGCTCTACATTTCTGTTTTCAAGCCTCCAGATGCATCCATCCTGGTTCAGAGCCAGTGCTATGAGGCCATGATCTGGTGGCTAATGTAAAACAAGCTGAAGCTGAATCCAGACAAGACAGAGGTAATGCTGGTTGGGAAGACTGATGTTCTGGAGGTCCATATTATCCACTTATCCTGTAGGGAATACAGCTGGCTTTTTCAGAGCAAGTTAAAAACTTAAGGGCATTCATGGACACAGCCGTGCTATTTGAAAAGCAGGTTGAGGCAGTGGCCAACATCTTCAACTGCATCTGGTTTGCCAACTCTCTCCTTTCTTGGACTCAGAAAATGTGGACATGCTGATCCATGGTTTTGTAACCTAACGGTGTGATTACTGTAACACGCTCTACATTGGGCTGCCTTGAAGACCTGGAAACGGCAGCTGATCCAGAATGTGGCAGCCTGATTGTTTACAGGAATTCGCCAATGAGAACACATCTTGCCCATTTTGAAACAGCTGCATTGGCTGCCATTTTTTTCAAGTCCAATTCAAGATGCTGGTTATGACCTTCAAAGCCCTCCTTGGCCTGAGGCTCTGAGGATCATCTCCTCCCATATGTTCCTGTGCACCAATTACAGTCTTCAGGTTGCCACTTGCTAGCTGTTCCCCCATTTAGGTTGGTCAACTCTGTGGAAGGTTCTCCCTGAGGAGGTACCATCATTCAGGAGGTACTTCAAGGCTTGCTTGTTTGCCAGGGCTCTTGATGGAGAAGTTCGCATCTTTGGGGGTGAGGGTATTGGTTTTTATCTCTAATGTTTAATTGGTAATGCTCCCTGAGCCAAGAGGAAAGATGGGATACAAATATTTTAATAAATAAAATAATGGAAGTAATAGGAACACCAAAGCAGGGAGTGGCTGACTACCTTTACAATACTTATTAGCAAGGTTTACATAACGCGGTACTTTTCTGCCACCAGTTTCTTGATTTTTGTTAGACTCTTGCCAAGGGATTGTCCTTGAGAAGCAGAACATGACACAAGTGACCTCCAAAATAAACATTTTTCACACATTAAATTAGAATGTTCCTTTAGTCTTTGGTACTGAACAAGTACAGTCCCAGAGAAGATTATATTTTTGCTAGCCAATGCCAATGCCGATGTATCCTATAGAATGGCTCTATTTGCCTTGGCTGCAAGGAAAATACGGGCCAACGCTGTTCTTAGGGGAACTAGCTAATACTGATTTTAGTGGGTATGCTGTGAATTAATCAACTGTTTATAACCCTGGTTTTAGGGATTCATAATGTTTTAGACTGTATTTTATTTTATACAATTTTCTATGTTTTATTGCATTCTTCTCTGCTCGTGTAAAGGATGAGATGGTTAGACAGTGTCATAGATGCAAAAAACATGAAATTGAGCCAACTTCAGAGGACAGCGGAAGACAGGAGGGCCTGGCGGGATCTGGTCCATGGGGTCGCAAAGAGTCGGACTCGACTGTGTGACTGAACAACAACAACAAAAATGGCTAAATACAATAAAAACCTTCTCTCTCTACTGAACAATTAAACTCTGGCCCGTGTCTCTCTTAAGTCATTTCATTTTTAGCTTTACCTTTTTTCCCAGTTATGATCTGGAAGACTTTGGGGCAAGGAGCTCGAACGGTTTGCCCAACTGAAGAGGACAGCCAACAGGTCATATTGTCCCACATTCCAAGGCATCCACCTAACATTCAAGAACAGAAACACAATTGTTTAAATTCCAGAAGCTGGGAGAAAATGCATCCCATCGTTGTGGTATAAAGAAAGTTTAAGAGATCCAAAGTTGGATACAAGCTCCTATGAACTGGGTGAGTTTGTGGTAGCAGACTTTTCTCACCCTTCCCTCCCTCCAGTAGCACCCTGCATCCCCTGAAAAGTCATTGCTGAGGGCCAGGAAACTTTCCAGAACAATATACCATGTGGTTCAGAAGGCTGCAACAATAAATGGAAACTGGTCAAAATCAACCCACTCACCACTTTACACAAGTGGAACTCAAGCTTAAAAAGCATTGTCAGCATGGGAAGGGGGGAGATTTTTGCTAATCCCCTCTTCTTGATGGCATATTGTTCAAGAGCATTTGTTCTGGAGGATTCTCCAACCATCAGCAGTGGCTTTTGGAGAGCTATAGAAGGCTGCTGGAGGAAGGCGAAGACAGCAAAGATCTGCTTACGTGAACTCACTTTGTTATACAAATTAATATCCAGTCAAAAATAGAAGACTGAAGTCAAAATGAGGAGGAAGATCTTGTATTTTATTGCAATGAAATACGGAAAACAGTTGACTGCTTTCTGAGCCCAATCAGCAAATACATGAAGTTAAATACTTAATATGACATCATCATACCATCATCATGAAAATAATATTCAGAAAGCATAACTGGTTACAAAAGCTTAAACAACATTTACATAAAAATCTTCTTATTGGTCAAATGTAAGAAAGGTGTGTCTATACAATAGTGTCACATATTTACTTGACCTAACCTAAGTCATATCGGCCACAGCTTGTTCTCACCCAAACAAAGGTGTTTTTCTCTGATACCAAGTAAAAGATCCTTTTTGACCCAGACACTTATGAAGTTGTAACCTAAACAATTAGAACCATGAACCTTCTACCTTCTTCTGTACCAAAAGAATGCTATTGTCTTGTCTGCTAACATCAGCTGAAAAAATACCCTGACCCCCAAAGAAGAGAGGCCTTCATTACATTCCAATAAGATGGTAAACCTATAATAAATCTATAAAACCCAGAGAAATATGAAGAATCAAAAAAGAGGAAAATCTATATAGTCCCATCTCTACTACAACTTGGCTCCTGGGATCCATTAAAGGAGGGACCGTATTCAGCCTGTGCTGAAAGCGCTGCACTGGCTGCCGATAGCGTTCCAGATTCGCTTCAAAGTGCTGGTTTTGACCTTTAAAGCCCTCAATGGCCAGGGTCCAGCCTACCTGAGGGACCGCCTTTCTCCATATATTCCCCCAAGGGCACTTCGGTCGGGAGGGAGGCATCTCCTGGAAATCCCAGGCCAGAAAGAAGCTAAGTTTGCTGTGACTAGGGCTAGGGCATTCTCGGTGGCGGCTCCTACCTGGTGGAAAGAGCTCCCGGAGGAGATCCAGGCCCTGCGGGACCTTTCTCAGTTCCGCAGGGCCTGCAAGACGGAGCTCTTCCGCCAGGCCTTTGGATAGGAGCCGCCGCCACCACCATTCCATCTGCATCCCTATGCCCTAGCGAATTTAACAGCTGACTGTCTTGCCCCCGGGGGGTGGAGTGTGGCACTGGAAATGGCCCTGAGTATGAGACTGTCGGTAGCTAGGTGAGGTTAAGATCTTCCCTCTTGCTGAAGTTTGCTATATATTGCTATATATCTGATTGTAATTTATGGTTTTAAATTATATGTGACTGTTTTAACTATATGTTTTGTTTTAAATTATATGATATTGTTTTACTTGGCACTCGGTGCCCCTGTTAGCCGCCCTGAGCCTTCGGGATAGGGCGGGATATAAATGCGAAAATAAATAAATAAATAAATAAAATATGCTTCTATTTCCATTAGAATATGTGAAACAAGGAGGTCCATGGCTTGGGTCCACATTTTTAACACATTGAAACTGAGGACCAAGAAGATAATAATAAAGATTCAAATAGTACTTTGTCTTAGGGAAAAAACACTCTCTGCACATTCATTCCTTCATAACAGGATAAGCAGCAGTGCTCCATTCAGGACGCTTCCCATTTGATGCTGGTGTGATGGCAGTTTACTAGAAATGCTTCCCATTTGATGCTGGTATGGTGGCAGTTTACTAGAAATGCTTCCCATTTGATGCTGATATGATGGGAGTATACAATTAAGCAGGGCTTTCTTTGTAGAAAAAGCCCAGCAGGAACTCATTAGCATAATAGGCCACAACCAACAACAGAAACTCATTAGCATATCCAGCCACACCCATGAGAGCATAGTTTATTAGCACATTAGGCCACACCCCCATGTTACCAGAAGTGTGGTTATCCAGCCACACCCACCTTTTGCTCCTTATTCTGTTTACCTTGTTTGTTGTCAAAACCCAGGGCTTTTTTGTAGCAGGAACTCCTTTGCATGTTAGGCCACAGCCCTAATGTAGCCAATCCTAATGCATTTCTGCTATTGGGTGTGGCCTATTATGCTAATGAGTTCCTGCTGGGCATGGCCAACTTGGGAGCCAGCCGGAACTCCGTTCCTGTACATTCCTGCCCAAAAATAGCCCTGCAATTAAGGATTTCAATTTAGGCACCAATCCCAAATGACATCCCACAACACATCTTAAAAGAAATTCACCTTACAGGCACTGTAACAACCCCCTCCAAGGCTGCAGCCTGGTTCATGACATCACATCTTGGAAGGATTGCCACAAGCTAAAGCAAAGGGCCCAGCACCATCCTACCTCAGCCCCTCCTGCTGGCTCCAGGGTTGATAGGTTACTGCTTGCCATCACTAAGGTATGAGTTTGACTGGGAGAGTCTTGTTGGATGTCCACTTGCATTTGCGATAATGAAGCTCCCCAGGTTCTCCTGGCTCCCTCAAGCTAAGTCATACCCAGTAGTATATAATGGAAGCAGCCACAGGCAAGACAATACACACTCCCTTGGTCCCTTTTCCCAAGGTCACTCACCAAGGAGAACTAGGCAAACAGAATAATATGGAGGACAGGACTTCAGTAATGTGGTGCCAGTTCATAGGTTTTAGGTGCTTAGAGACCTAGGCATGTTGCCTGGGGTTCAAACTCCAGGTGATACAGTTACAATAACAATAAGAATGTTATTGTCTTGATGGGAACAGCAAGGAAGATGCATATGAAGCATCTGGACGTAAAGACTGCTTTTCTACATGGAAAAATAAAGGATGATGTTTACGTGGAACAGCCACCAGAATTTGAATAACCCAAAGACAAGCAACTCATGTGTAAACTGTAAAAGAGCATGATGGTTAATGAGGGTAGGATAGTAATTCTTGAAATGTGGCTTTTAAAAGTCCATCATTACCTTTCTTCTCAGACTTAGTATTTCTTCCATTGACCCCAAACACATGGTCAAGATGGCATCTCCAGGTAAAGACTTAGTCCTTTCCTGGCTTGTGTACAGAAGAGCCCAAGAGTTAAGAGAGCTTCTTCCTCATGTCCTGAACATCTATAATCTCCCTTTTGAGAATCCCCCCGAGGGGGGGGCGGGAGTCAGTCTTGGTCTTTCTGACTCAAGAGGAAGAAATTGCTACCTAGCGGCCTTTCTGCTTTAAAAGTCTCTATCTCTTTAGGTATGACATTCTAGCAAGAAGTGAGACAATAAAACCTTTGCTCTTACTTCACCCACAGCTGTTTGCATCTGTAAGCACTCTGTGTTTGGGGCTTGTAGTGTATCAGACCCCTACAGGGCCGGGCATGCCTGGGCTTGCCCAGACACCAAACACAGCTAGCTTCAGACCAAAAGACAATGGGCAGTAGGATCCTAGCCAGGCCCAATGAAAGGGCTAGGTCCCAGGCCAAGAGGCCAAGAGGTCTCTTGGTTACTGTAAATAGCCTATCGGGAGTGGGGTGTGTATTGGTGGAGGGTTTTTCTGAGAGAATATAAGCCGGCCTGCGAGCCGGGTATCTTGTCTTTGTTCCTGACTAAATAAAGGTATGCTCAGCTGAAATCACTCTCCGTATGCATACTTTTCAGGGCTCGATGACTCACTCTCCCCACACACACATTTTCCTTTTTGCCAGCTACAAACTCACCATCAGGTTCCAACTCATAGAAGGCGTGCAGTCACAATGGTTGAATTATTGGAGTGAATTCCAGGATGGAGAAGCTGTTTTATATACATGGATTTTAATGCTGATTAAAAGGTTTTTTAATCATGTGCTGCCTTGGGGGGGGGGGGCTAAGTTGGATAGAAAGGTGGCATAAAATATTTAAATAAAATAGCATGGCCATCAAGGTGTTACTGGAGAGCGACAACAGCTGCACAAAAAATGTGATTGTCAAGCGTAGGGCAGTTGTGTGCACTGGCCTTTATATAACACAACCACTTGTATCCTTTCCCCTCTAATGCTGCCGGTATTTCCCAGGTGCTGGAAATATACAAAGGGCTTCTTTTATTTACCCTCTGTCATACAATAATATGCGTTGGTTTAGATAATTTAGGCCTGATTCCTGCAGAACCCAAACAGCACAGGAATTGGCAGTACACAAGCCTCCATTAACTAAGCCTGATGGATATTAATCATGCATTTCTAGCAGCATTTGTTAAAGAAACCGTGATAAATGTGCTGGGAAATGGGAGGGCAGCTGATCTTGTACAGCCTAGTTCTGTTTCACCCACACACACACATACACACACACTTACCCATTCCAGGTGTATTGAATATTCATAACTGAGTGTCCCTGACAGCAAGAGTATAGTGAGCCCAAGCATAGCGGGGAACAGACAGACAGCACACAGGGCTACTACTGTCAAAGGTTCCCACAGACCAATGGTTGCATGTTGGAGGGATATAATCTGAATTCAACTCACTGATAAACAGGGTGGGCAAGGCCACTCTGTTTTGTTTATATAAGACAGTAGTGTATCAATAAAATGTCATTAATCAAGACCAGGAAGCAGCAAATATTACTCCTCAATCAACCATTGTTCTGAAATCTGTTTCTCAGAAGGGAAACCCTTCCCTAACCCCAGGAACATATGTCGCCCACAATAATTTACCTAAAACTACCATAAAGAGAGGCATAAATCACTCTGTGCACCAATACCAGCACTCTAAACACGCCAGATGTAATTACCACATGCAGTGTTTCTTCTGTAATGGAGGAAACAGGAGACATTTGGGAGATATGTTTGCGAGTCATTTTTTCAAACAACACCAAACAGGTGCAAAAACAGAAATGTGGGTCATAAAATTAAACTGATTTTAAGTGCTAATAGGAATATTCCCTGAATACTATTAAAATGGGGTTGTGTGACCATTTTAATATGGTGAATGTTAATGGAGGGTTTCGAGTTATGTGTAGGATGTTACTGTTAAGAGGCGGTGGGAAAGAAAAATGCAGTGATATTGGAAGCAGAGTTCATTCATCTCATTCATCCCAAAGGGAATCTCATCTCCCATCCACCAGACGCAAACTGACACACAGTTTCTGAGAGATAATGCCATGGTTTGATGAGTTCCTTCTGGTTTGTAGCACATTTCTTCCCTCTAGATGAGGTGTGGATGTCAGAAGGTTCAATGTGACCAAGGGACAGGAGAGTTAATGTGTCTCTGGCACCCAGACCCATAGGAAGATCAATTGCCTCTTTGTTTGAGTACTATTCCCATTTATCTCAGGGCAGTGATGACAACTTCACTGTGAGAAGAGCTCTGCAGTTAAAAGAGAGTGGGTACTACTTTCCCCTGCCCTCCATGGGCAGAAAAATCTCCAGAATGCAGTCACATTTGACTAGCACTGGGTAGTAATACCAAGAGCATATAGCGAAGAGTGAGATCGCACAGACTGATACCACCAACAGAATCTGCACATTCAGATGAACATCTGCCAGAAGCCTGATGTATGGACAAATGTATGCACATAGACATTCACCAGGACTTGAGAGAGGAGGAGGACATCTTATTTAAGAGAATAATCTGAGAATGGAATTAGTGTTCCCACAGAGTTGGTACTTTACCTGAACTTCCAAGACGCTCATTGTCAACGGTCCTATTCTCTTCTTCCTGGGAGAGGATCGATGTGCAGAGTTCTTCTTCCCTCTTCATAATTTTCAGCACTTCACACGATGTGATCATGGCTCCAATCTGCTGTTTTTAGAAAATAACTACTTTATTATCTGCCAATAGCTAAACATATTATCTACAAAATGTAACATCTACAAAAAGTTGTCTGGGACACACTGGATTATAATACATGACTCTTAAAGTGCAGGGTTTTGAAATGAGATGATGATTTTTAATATTATGCTTCCTTTCTGGGCTTAGTTGGAGCCAGAAATCACTAGAGCTTAGAACTAGGACTTGTTCTGTTTAGCTCATGTGTTGGACTAGGTTTGGGGAGATGCTAATTCAAAAATCCCTACCTTGCCAAGAAGGTCACTTCTTGGTCTAATCAGTGATTTTAGTCTAATCAGTCTTTCTTAGTCTAACCTATCTCACAAGGATGTTAGGAGGATAAAATAGAGGATGGGAGATCCGTGTATGTAGTCCTGAATTCACTGGAGGAAAGGCTAGGATAAAAGTGTGATAGATTTTCATGACAGCTTCCGCCACAGGAAGCAGGAAGCAATCATAAACTGAAGAGTGACTTTGAGTTTGGCCAGATTTCCTTTTCTTCATCAGTGTGCAAGGAACATATGCCTTTACAGAATGGGGATGAGGGGGAACGGGTTTCGGGACCATGCCCGGTAGTCTTCTGGAAGTCTTCAGCTCTGGCATTTCGCATTTAAAAATTAAGCACTAATTAAGCTGTAATCGGAAATAATAATGTTAACCATGAATACACGTGCTCCTTCAGATACAACCTTTACACATCTGACCTGATCTACACTAGGATATACACAAAAGGCTTCAAGAAATCATTTACACCAAGCCTGCAGAACTTTTAACCTACCTGCCATGCATTGCCATCTGCCGCCTGGACAATCTTATTTGGCTGCAGTCCCAGGTAGGCCATTATGAAGGCCCCTGGCAAGCTTCCATGTACAGCTGGGGGACTGTGTTCAGTTTGGTGGGTCACCCTTTGATTTTACACAGTCCTCTGCTACCCTGTTTCCCCGAAAATAAGACCTACCCCAAAAATAAGCCCTAGCAGGATTTCTATGCATTTGTGGTATAAGCCCTAGTGTGTCTTCTTGAGAAAAAATAAATATAAGACAGTGTCTTATTTTCGGGAAAACACGGTAGTACACAAGAGACACAGTTTTTAAGGGAAACCGCTGAACAGAATCAGCTACAGCTTGGCCTGGGTGCCACTTGTATTGTGTCAATGGACTTGAGTTAGCTTCTTCCACTGAAAAGAGCATGTTCCTGAACTAGTGGGACTTTATGCCAAAGACTTCACACCACTGAATGTGATATAGTTTAGTAGGACATGATCTGTAAGTGCATGTAGTTAAAAGCCTGCTGCAACTTTGTTCTGGAAGCCCCCATTACCATTGGCACAGATATGATTTGTATTGCTTACAAGTGCTGTTTCCGTGCCATTTGCCCCTTTATCTAATACCATTTTAATCTAATGTACATTTTCCCCTCTTGCATTTTCATGTCAGACTATGCCAAAGTAACCCAACTGCCTCTTGAAACAGGTTGGCAGAGTTTCCTCGCCTGTTCCATCTTACATTACCTTTCATTACTTTTTTTAATCAGTGGAAATGGCTCTTGCAACATGCTCAGTATTGGAACTGGATAACCATGCAAAAACGAAGCAAGAAGGGGAAATCCCTCAGTACTAGCAATGGAAAACACAAGGAAAGACCACAGGATATACGGGATACAGTAATCTCTGCCCATCAGAAATGGCTCAAAAGTATACAGGATTTCAAACTTCGTAACTAATCTATTTTGTAGCCACATTATTAGTTTCGTAATTGTTACATATTTAGTATTACACAAGGGGGGACCCGCGATACTCGCGGGGGGGGCAGTCTCTCTCTTTCCCCCGTTCTCTCTCTTCCCCCCCAGTCTCTCTCTCTCTCTCTGTGTCTCTCTCCCCCCTTCTCTCTCTTCCCCCCCAGTCTCTCTCTCTCTCTCTCTCTCCCCTCTCTCTCTTCGTCCCACAGTCTCTCTCCCCCCCTTCTCTCTCTTCGCCCCACAGTCTCTCTGCGAGGCTCCTTAGCGGCGGCAGCGTTTTTCTCCCCCCCCACTCCCCTAGCCCTGACATTTCCCGGCCGCTCGGCCGTCCGACTGGCTCTGAGGCGGCGGCGGCAAGGCTCCTTAGTGGCGGCGGGTCCCCCCCCCAACCCTCCTGGCCCTGACGTTTCCCGGCCGCCCGGCTGGCTCCGAGGTGGCGGCGGCGAGGCTCCTTAGCAGCGGCGGCTGC